TATAAATACTATACAAATGGTTTGAACACAAGTTCTAACAACTTACTAGGTTCTCACCATACAACTGTAAATATATATACATAGGGAAAATAAGTGAAAAGGAATATTGATGTACAAACAAGTTTGTTAAATTGAAACATACATTTTTTACATAATTATGATAAATATATAATTATATGGATATATAGAGTTAGGCAGTATTAATTAATTAAATCTACCAGAATCTCTTATAAATTTATGAACTGACTGAAAAATATATTTATTGATTTCTACATTTTGTGACTCATCTCCCCACAGAAGTAAATGACAATCAATAATGTTCAATTTGATATTTGGTTTCGTAGGACACAGTAAATCTCTGAATAGCTTTTCTCTAGCATATTGGTATTTATTGCAGACAAAGAAAAAATGATATGGGTCTTCTGGTGTACCACATGAATAGTTAGGACTCTCGATAATGTTTCCTCTATAAAGATCATAATTTAAAATGCAATTGTGTCGTAGTTTAGTATGTATGATATTAAGTCGTCTATTACCATGGGAGACATAAGCAGGGGTTCTGCTGGTTTTTTTATGTATGTTATTTTTAAAGCTGCTAAAAGATATGCTGTTTCTAGTTGTGATACTCAGACTATTCCATTGGTTTATTGTATCAGGAACAAAAGATTTCTTGAATATTTCAAGTCTACATCTAGGAATAGTGTAGTCCTCTCTATTGCGTGTATCATACTTTGATTCATTACGTCTTGTTGCGGGAATAATCGGGTACTAAGTTGTGATGTACCTTGTACTTACTTACTTACTTACTTACTTACTGTTAGCAACCTAGTTTGCGCAAAACTAGTTAATTTTTATAGTGTTTATACCGAATATTTCTTATGTTATTGGGATGTGAATTTTTTTCTCCTGATTATCAAGGAATCGTGAATATTTTAGATTTACGCAAAATCAATTTAACGAAGTTGAGATGTCTACTTCAAGAAACATGTTTTTGTAAAATGTTAAATATATTTATCTTTGCAGTCAAAAAATAAATAAACAAGCAGCGGTAGGAAAATATGAAAAAAACACCCTGATAAATAATTTAAGTTACAATAATATTTATTACGGAAGATTACTGCTGAACTCCCAACTTCAATTAATTTGACACTAAAACGGAAGATGGTTCAGTGAAACGATTTTTTTTTTAATTAGGGGATCTAATTAATTACATACTCACGTTTAATATGGAGTAAAAATATGTGGCTATGGTGGCCAATTCTAAAATGTTTTTATATTCATGAAACCAGTTTTTGAAAAAAATGATGCCATGATGCCCCCCCCCCCCCCCCGTGCTTTTGATTTGCGATTTATCGGCTCTTAAATAATGATGTATGTGAAAGAACATTTTTTTATTTACATTAAATAAAATTTTGTAAAAGAGGAATATATAGGGGAAAAGGATTACCAGGTGACGGGTTGAAAAAACTTGGATAAACACGAGACTATGCACATAAAAATATTTTCTTCATTTAATTAAAAGAAATATGAAAGTAATGTTATTTATGTATTGTTTGAGCATTTAAGTGCCTTTTTATTTGTCCTGATAGGGAAAAAACATGAAAATTAAACAAAATAACAAGAAATATTGAGTAGAAATGAAGCGCAAGAAGTACCAACTTTGAAAGCGTATTGTAAAAATTATAGACATAGAATCTCAAATCGCCACATACAATTGATAGTTTAATGTTTGATCTTTTATTTAATTGTACTCTGGTGCTTGCACTTTTTGATTAAAGGTAGGCATGCGGCGTTTGAAAATTACCTGTGCTATCATCTGAAATCAGAAGATAAAGTATCCGACATTGCATTGCGATTTCCATATATGGTAAAAAATTTGGCTGCCATATTGAATCTAGCTATCCTCCAAAAACGGAGGCCGCCCAGACCTGATTATAGCGCACCGTGAAGACGCTAGAAAAATACCAAAGAAAGGGAGAGAAGGGGGGAGTGATTACTTGATTATTTATTACAAATTTATAGCCCTAACTTTTTGGATCAGTTTTCAGTTTTATTGAAGTCGAGAGACATACATCTCATAGACAAAACACATGTAATAATGAAATATACATACATCTTAATACATGTAATATGGAATAGACATACAACGTACATGTACAAAGCATATAATATTTCTGATAATCTATAAGATTGATAAAGATGCAGTTCTTGAGGCATTCGCTAATTGCAAAAATTTTCCTAAATTACATAATTCTTTTGTATTCTGTGTACTGAGTAGCTGTACCAATTTGAAGACGCTTGGTCTTCGGGAGTAAAAGGATTTAATGTATTTTTGTCTTAATGTGTTGTAATGTGGACATTTTAACACAAAATGGAATTCATCTTCTACCTAATTACCTAATTGACAGAGACTACATGTTCTATTATTTCTCAAAGTTTTATTATATCTTCCTTGTTCAATCATTAAGTTATGCGCAGATAGTCTTAATCTGGTAATTGTTACTCTATATTTTAGATGTATTGGTTTACATAAATAAGCCTGAAGGGTAAAATTATCTACCAGGTGTTGATAAATGAGACATTTTGGTGATTTACCTAAATCTGACAAAATGCTTTGGATAAATTCGTCACTCATTCTCTGATATAAAATATCAATTGTGTTACTATTTATACAATTGCTATCGAATAGTTCTACTAAGCCAAGCCTATAAAATTTATTCTTAATATTTACAATCCATTCATCATTATTTTCTAACCTTTCTTGTAGACATGCTTGAAGAATGCAATTGTCACTATTTCTTAATTTTAACCAGTATTTAAAGATTTTCTTTTTCCTGACCAATTCAAGAGGCAATTTGCCTAATTCACAATAAATCATACTGTTATATGTATTCTGTCTAACTTTAAGTATTCTTTTACAAAATGAAAGATGTACTTTTTCTATATCTTTAGCTTTGTGCCATCCCCAAATTTCAGATGCATAACACAGTACAGGGCTTATATAAGTCTCAAACATATCTGATTGTGTTTTAACATTAAAATTCAAATCTTTCATTCTATTCAAAACACTATACATGGCTTTTCTTCCCTGTGATGCAAAATGTTGTTGTGTTTTTGCAAATTTACCATTAAAATTAAACAACATACCAAGATAATTAAACTCATTAACTACTTCTACAGTATTCCCATCATATTCCCAGTATTCCTTAGCTCTAATCTGTCCACTGTTTCTAAACACTAATATTTTTGTTTTTTCGACATTAACAGTTAAACTCCACTCTAATGTATATGTACCGGGTATACAATGAATTTAACATATTTTGTAAACCCTCTGGTGTTTCTGAAATTAGTGCTGTGTCATCAGCATACATAAGTAAAAATAAATTAATCATTTGTAGTTCTATTGATGGACAATTGGTAGATATAAAATGATTTTCAAAATCATTGACATACATTGAAAACAATAATGGTGACAAAATTTCACCTTGTAATACACCGGTTGTAATATTAAAATACTCTGACAGTTCTCCATTATGTTTTATACATGCTTTCACATTCTGATAAAGTGATTTAATTATACACATCATTTTTCCATCTATACCATATAATTTAAGCTTATCCACAGACTAGATCTATTAACATAATCAAAAGCTTTTTTATAGTCAACAAAACAACAATACAGTCTTTTCTTATTTTTAAGCATCTTATTTACCAGAGTTTGTAAAACAAAAATTGCATCAATGGTACTTGCATTGTGTTAAAAACCAAATTGTGCATCTGTCGTTATATTATATTCTTTGTCCCACTCCAACAATCTTTGATTTAAAATACTTGTAAATAATTTAGCTAAACAACTTACTAAAGTAATACCTCTATAATTGTTAGGATCATTTTTATCACCTTTTTTTAAAAATGGGCACAATACATCCTGTTGACCAATTTTCAGGGTAATGGCCAGAATTAAAAATCTTGTTAAATAATTTACATATAATAGGTGTCATTATATTTTTACATTTAATAAAAAATTCATTAATTATGCCATCTTCTGCATTACTTTTATTGTTTTTCAATCTACTAATAGCTTTATCCACTTCGTTCTCAGTTACTTGAAGTCTCTTAACAATGGAATCTTTGATATACATGTTTTGCTAGACAGACATTTCCAACGACCGTGCCTTTGTATACATCTTTCGTCAACATCAGAATTGGCTGCAACAGAAGCACCACCTGAACGAAGTGAATGAATTCCAATATTTCAATTTGGAGCAACAGATTTTAGCATTTTTACAATGTTTTCTTTTGCTGCTGTATAACTAATGGGCTTATTTTTTGTGATTAACTTTGCGATTCCCTTACTTCTGAATACTGGCGTAAAAATAAAATCTGAAGACAACAAATTATATTTGCAGCAGATGCATAACGCAAAAACATACTGTAAGGACAAGCGCACGTAACACCCTTTGAAATCAATACTTCATTCCCTTCTCTCAACTGATCATTTTTACTTTTCTCAATAAAAATTCTTAAATAATCTTCTTCAACCACGACATTGTTACACTTTAAAGAGCTAATTTCATCAAATCTCAAAAATCCTGCAAACCCCATCAGAATCATTACTAAATTTCTTAGTGTTAAAATATCATCAGATTCTTTATGTAGTGAACACAAATTCTGCAACATCTCATTGTCTACAGGATCCTTTCTACACACGGGTTTTGCGGTTAATCTCTTTTTGCAGAATCTTGAAGTGACTTTACAAACGAATTTTCTGTAGGATCGTCCAAACCGCATAAATTATGAATCCATTTGATCGAATAAATTGTAGAACTCACAGTGGAATAGGATGCACCTTTATCCAACAAATGGGTTATATATAGTGCAACATGCACGGGTTTAGCTGGTAAATCACTGTGCCCATGATCGTTGATAAATTTCCTCCATCGCTGGAAACTGTTTGAATACGTTTTATTTGTGTTTTCACTTTTGGAAAGGACAATGATTGCTAAGGCTTCCTAGGCTACTTTTCAATGGAACACCACTATCTTCTACTGCTCTGTTTACATGTGTCTGAAGATTTAGTCCTAAAATCAAAATTTTAATATAAATTATATGCACCTGTACAATAATCATTAAATTCATGTCATACCATTTTTACGTCCCCCTCCTTTTTTTTTTAAATTATTAAAATCTTATCTTGAGCGCTACCATTTTGAAATCCAAAGAATATTTGGCAAATACAGATTTCTTGCTTTTACCATGAGTAATCAATCTTTTCTTTGATAAATATTTCCAAGACTGAATAAAACTTTTGAACTTTTCACCATCAAATTACATTGGCCAGAATGGAGAAGATTTCCATTCTGGAACAATCAAAGTTGCTTTTGCTCTGTCTGAAACAATTTTGTTTATAACTTTTGGAATTAAAATTGGAGGAGGAACCAACCAATTGTTTTCATCTGCCCAACAAATATCAAAAGCATTTATGCACTCTGTGCCCGGGCACCAATATTTTTAATTGAATCTAATACACTTTTTGTTGTAATGTGTAGCAAACCTGTCCACTGTACATGTATGCATACCCCACAGTTTTTCATAATATTCAAAAATTTCGTCATCTATTGACCAATCATCCATGTCTGTCAATCGACTCAAACTGTCTGCTTTTTTATTTTCCGCCCTAGGCTTCCAAACAGGGTTGATTCGAATACTGTTCTCTGAACATGTTTTGAAAATATCATTTGCAATATCTTGTAAATATGATTTTTTGCTACCAACCGATAAAATAACAGAAACGTTTTTGTTATCTGAAATGATCTTTATATTTTCATTTGTCAAATGTGAAACATTACTCTTGACAACCCTGTTCACAGCCTCCAGTTCTCTCCATCTTGAACTTTGCTGACTTTCCTCTTCCGTCCAGCTTCCAAACACATTTCCAATATTCACTTGATTTTCATCTGATATACATTCAATAAATCCACCAAAGCCTACATCTGAGGCATCACAAAATACATGAAAATCGCATACATCTGATGCGTCAAAACTTTCAATGAGACAACCATTCTCGTTCAAAGTATTCAAGTTTTCCCGCCAAAATTCGATTTCGCTAAAAGCGCAGGCTGAAATTTTTACCTTTGAGTTCCAGCTTGCTCTGCTCATTATGCAATCGTACAAGTATCTTGTTTTCAGCCTAACAATGCTTCCAATTACTACTTTCATTGAAATGATCTGACCTACAATTCTTGCCAATTCTTTAACATGAAAGAAAGTAAAACTTTTCATAACTTTCAAATGAACATTGTTTAAACAATTGATAAGACGGTCGACCCTGTTTTATGTTATGAAAATTTTCCCTTTTGCCATATCCTACACAAAACCTAACCAAACTCGGTATTGAGTAGGAAACCATTCACATTTATCATCAGCAAACAAAAATCCTAGCTTTTCAAAAAATTCCTTAATGTAAATACTCACAGATTTTGCACTATCTAAACACGATTCAGCTCCAATTCCATCATCTAGAAAGGTAATGATTCTCATACCTTTTGCTCTCAGACATTTGACAGGTTCTCTGAGCACTTTTGTAAATATGTACCCCGCAGTAGATAAGCCAAAAGGCAAAACATTAAATACATAATAATGCGTTTTCCCTTCAACTTCCCATGAAAATCCTAGAAAATTTCTGTGTTCGCTGAAAATTTCTACATGATGATAAGCGGATTTAAGATCAAATGTGAAAATGAAATCCCCCTTTTTAAACATTTCTTTAGCTACCGAGGCATCTTCATATCTGTACTTAAATTTATGTAAATGTGGGTTTAAGTGTCTGCAGTCAAGAACTAAGCGTGGCTTACCGTTCCTGTTTCTCGCAACCGTCAAAGGATTTACAACTTTAGGAATCTTACCAACCTTTGAGACGCACCCCTTCTTTAGTAAATTCTCTATCTCTTTTGATACGAATTCTTTGTCATTCAAAGTGTAATGATCATAGTGGATTTAGATGCCTTTGAAATCGTCCAATCAGATCATTTTATATTTGACCAATCAGCGCTTGATATTATAACCAATCATAGTTTCAGAATCATCAACCAATCATTAGGAATTAGAAAGAGTATAAATACAGACACCCATGAAATATTTGGTTACTTGGTCGTTACTCATTGTTTGAGTAACACCTCCTGGACTAGGTTCTTGGGCTGTGTCGGGAAACAACAGAATTGTTCGTTAAACCACTCAGCTCAGGAACCTAGTTCCTTAATAGTGTGTCTCAGTGACTTAGTTTATATAGTGTCTTGGTGACTTAATTGATATAGTGTCTTTGTGACTTTTACATAAAGGTGTCTCTGTGACTTTTAGGGTGTGTTTTTAGGTAGTTGCAGACTGTGTCGGGAAACAACAGGGTTGTTGGTTAAACCACTCAGTCTGCAACTACAGTGTCATAACTTTATATCTGATTATTGGTTTAATTGTGGTTGATTCTTTTCTTATAATTCGTTGTCGTTAAGTTCATATTTGTTTGCTAATCATTATCCAGGTAGGACCGAGGAAAAATATATTATAACACGAGTTTGTCTAATTTTGCCAATCCAGATTTTATATTTGTCATTGTCATTGTTCGTCTGCAGGAAGTTGACGTAAGTTTGTTTGATTATATATTATAACGTAATTCTTAGGAAGGAAACCTAAGCGAACTCAATCATTTATTATTTGTACTTTGTAAAAACGTTAAAAAACCTGACCTGTTATTTCGTAATACAATCGATTGTGGCTCAGTTTTGAAAGGAATTCTGTAACCTACCTTGATCAATTGAACAATGCTTTCGTTCGCCCCCATGTCTTTCCATTCACTCACCTGTGACCTCAAGCGACCAACTGGACTAAGTATTTTCAAAACATTTTCATCAACTTTTGAATTTACTTCATTCTCAGATTTATTCAAAATTGTAATATAATTTTCACTTATCTTATTCTCATCTTTCTTTGGACAGTCACGACTCCAATGCCCTTTTCCCCCGCAATCGTAGCATCTGCCTGGCTTGTTTGTAGCTGCCTTATCGTCGGTATCCCTGCGGGAAAAGGTTTCTCTCACTGGTCTCTTCGGATAAGGTGAAAATCTGTATGGCCTTCTCCCCATATATCTGTCCTCTTTAGCTTTCCTTTCTGCTCTCATTTGGGCTCGGTAAATTTTCTTTTTATCGTCAGAGTCAGCCGCGATAGGATTTGTTTCGTATTCTTTAACAACTCTCCATCGTAATTGAGAAGAATCTGCTAATTTGATAAGCTTTTGTCTATTTTTCACCAAGTCAATACCTTCTGTGATGTTAGATCTCGCTTCCTGTATATTTTCTTCACTTATGGTGGCCGAGTTAAGCTGCTCGTTCGCTTCTTTAAGTTTAGATAGGACGCGAGCCTGATGCTTGAACTGGTTTTCATTTCCTTTCTTTTTGAAAACGTAATGGTCAGTCTGGAGATTCTCTTCGATTCTGTTAATCTGCGAATTAGAAATCTGCTGAATGTTCTGCTGAAAACTGGAGAGTTTTGAGTCTATCATAGTCTGTAAACTGTTCAATAAATCTCCTTGCTGTCTAGAAACAGCCAAATTTACTTCTGATATGGTTTGAGACAATTCCATTCTCCTAGCGTCCATCCTCGGAAAATTGACCTGCTCGGGTAGAGCGTGCGCTAGAAACTGAACTCTACTATCGTGAGAAAACTATTCAAACACGTCATTCCCCTAACTCCCATTTCATTGGTTTTTACCAAGTACACAATATTACCACATACACAATACGCAACTTCCGTTCAAGAACATTAATTCGTTTACATATCGTTAGGACAACTATTTTTCGCTATACTATCTTAACCCTAGAAATTATAATTATTGGTAAATTAAAAACTGTTTTTAAGGGGATGAAGGACTTTTAGCTAAAAAATACCTGTCATTCAATTTTTTTCATATTTTGTATATCTCTTATTGAATATGTCCCACATACCTTAAAGCAGATATATAAAGGTCTAGGTTTCTAGATTTATTTCTGAGATATAGAGTGACAAATACTATGCCCACAGTGTCTGAATAAAGTTTTGATTTTCCGTATTTCTGGGCCCATTACTCGGTCCACAATGGATTTTTTTCAGCATAGATAGAAAATATGTCAGCACACATGTCTTTTAAGATATTTCAGAGTGTGAATAGGGTTAAAAATTCGAAAAAGCAAGATTCTTTTGTCACCGCATCTGGAGACGGAAAATTACGTTCTTTTTAAAATAACTTAAACGACAAAAAAAAAAATAATTTACAAAAAATCTTATCATTCAATATTTGAAAAATTACGTCGAAATGCAAGTTCGTCATGTTATTGATTAACTGCAAAAATATCGATTGGTGAAGCTGTGCTCAATATTGCACAGGGCATAGTTAAACAAGACATGAACACGAGAAAAACGTGTCATGTTTACATTTCTCGAGTACGGGAAAACCCTACTATGACGTTACACATTTGCGAAATAAGCTTACACATAACTACAAAATATTTCCGTCAACAACCATGTAAAAATATTTTTTGTGTACTGTGATTTATCAAATATCCCACAAAATACTGATCATGACCCGTTTTTATGATATTATGATAATTTACTACCCGTGTTTTACCATGTATATAATCTTACTGTACTAAGATCCACTATGACGTCAGCGACTCGTTGGACGCGCAGTGTAGGGAAACAGAAGAGTGGATCAATCTATTCCGTCAAATCGATAAGTTCCCATAGGCTATAAACTTTTATTAGAGTCGACATATTTTTGTGGCAAATATTGCACAAGAAATTCCTTTATGAAGTACTAAATACCGATTAAGAAACATCTTGTGAACATTGGTGAACAGGTGAAGGACCCGATCAAGCCGAGGAATAGTCAAACCGACAATGGCTATTCGGATTTCATGTAATCATTAAATAAAAACACATAAGTATTGAAACTTTAGGAATTCGTTTTATTTAGTCGAAGTTCGATCATTGTTGTTGATATCAAGTAAATATTACCTGTACAAAAAATACGATAGAAAACGTGCAATGACTTTATTTACATATATGTTCTTCCGGTATCCATAAAAGTAGAACTTCGATGATCGGAACTGAAAATTCCGGATTTTATTTACTTTCTATCTTTCGAACCCTTCGATCTCTCGAACTTTTCTTGTGGTCCTTTGAACTTCGAGAGATCAAGAGTCACCTGTAACTTGTTTCATTGCAGACCGTTCATGGTCCGATTCCAAGTATCTAACACTCAAAACATAGTCATTCCAAGTATAAACAAATGCAAAGCACATTTTGTATCAATTTAGTTGTTCATCAAGCATTCTCAGAGTTCGTTTTAAAGGTTTTCCGAATGCAAAACAAAATTTTATTCGGTACTCCCTGCTCCGTGACGTCCTTCGACGTCATCATTTTTTGATTTTTATCATAAAGTCTTTCTACTTTTAAAGATAGATATCTTTTGAACGAAGCAATGTATTACATTAAATTCCAGCATCTGGAGTAATTGTACAATTTTAAATTTAAGCAGTTCAATTTTATTTCGTTTAAGAGCCATTTATTAGAGGTATGACTCTAGACATTATCAAGTGTTTATTAGAAAACAGGTCAATTTTGACCCTGCTCCGTGACCCCATTTTTTCTGTCTTAAATCCTTAATAATTTTCATAATTATCAAGATAATTTCAAATTTTTTGACTCAAATAATTTAAATTAATTGTTAAAATATGTGTACTAAATTTGGTAATGATATGACGTTAAATGACAAAAGTTACGACAAAAGTCTACGAACTTTTTGAATGACCCTCGTACTACTAGTATATTCAACTATAAATGGTAGATCAAAGTTCAAAGTTTTCAGTCTAGTAAGAAGGATACGGAAATAACGAACATTATTCAATCTCAACGTCCATTAAACAAATATACAAAATAAGAACAGAGCAAATATGGACTTCCGAAACATCAGAGGTGGGATCAGGTGCCATGGAGGAGTGAGCATTCCCTGCCAACCGGTCACACCCGCCGTGTGCTCGTTGTCATAATCAGGAAATAACGGAAAAAATCCGTGGTCAATTCAGTGTATAAATAATGGACTAACAATTGGTATGAAAAACGTCAGTCAGCATTCCATTCAATGATAAATTGTATTTGCTGACAAGGTCATTGTATCGACCATAGAATTTACGAAATGATGACTTTAAACGAGACTGTTGATATTTTTGTTTCATCTACTTGCTTGTCAATAATTTACCTCGTTTAAGAAATTGTTCATACGTAGAGCATGGTCTTGCCTATCGAATCAACTGAGATATAAATACTCCGTATGCAGGTGATGAAGGTATATTGCTGCATAATTAAGGGAAGTTGACGATATTAAAGTTAAAGTCATCACGTTTATCATATAGTTTGGTTGTTAAATTACCATTAGTGTCTTTTTCAAGTGAAATATCCAAATATGAAGCAGAAGTGTCGGACTCACCAGGATATATCGTGTCGACGTAGGAATGGAAATTAACATTATTAATTGACAATACGTCGTCGATATATCTAAATGTCGAGTTGAAGGCCACAACAAGTGTTTTCTTCTTTTCACGTAAAAGATTTTGCATAAATTCTGCTTCATATGAATATAAAAATAAGTCTGCTAATAACGGAGCGCAATTTGTACCCATGGGAATTCCAATAGATTGTTGGAATACCTGGTCTCCAAAAACCACATAGATATTGTCAATCAGAAACTCAAGCATCTTCTTGATGTCAACTTCAGAGTACTTATGTGTGCAATCAGAATCTGTTTTAACAAAATAATTTTTCAAATGACCAATGACCAATGACGAGGTAAGTAAACTTACGAGTTCCATTTTTGTTGAAGAAGCAGCTGTGAATAATATCAAAAAGCCTGGATTTTAATTTGTCGTGGGGAATCAAAGTTCCAAAGTTTTCAGTCTAGTAAATCAAAGTTCCAAAGTTGTAACTGTATTAAATCTAAGTTCCTTAGTTTTCAATCTAGTAATTTAAAGTTCCAAAGTTTTTACTATAGCAAATTAAAGTTCCAAAGAGTTTACCATAGTAATCAAAGTTTAATGTTTTTAGCCCCTGAGCTGAAAGCTAAAGTGTGATTTTCTGATCACATTTTGTCCGGCGTCCGTCTGTCTAACCGTCTGTCTGTCTAGATGTCTGTTAACTTTTCACATTTTTGACTTCTTTACTAAAACCACTCGGCCGATTTCAACCAAACTTGTCACAAAGTATCCTTGGGTGAAGGGAATTCAAGTTTCTTCAAATGAAGGGCCACGCCCTTATTCAAGGGGAAATAATACAGAAATAGTGAAAATTTGGTGGTATGTTTTAAAAATCTTCTCCATAACCACTAAGCCAGGAAAGATAAAACTTATAGGGAGGCATCCTCAGGTAGTGAAGATTCAAGATTCATGACCCCTAGGGGTAGGGCAGGGCCACAATGGCCGACCAAAATTTTACACAGAAATAGAAATGGAAATTATTAAAAATTTCTTCTTCTCAAGAATAGCAAATGCATAAATGATCATATTTATATGGAAGCACCTTCAGACTATGAAGCGGGGCTTCAATGGTTGGACAAAGTTTTGTACAGAAATATATAGAAAAAATATTTGAAATCTTCTTCTCAAGAATAGCAAAGCCATGATTAGTCACATTTATATGGAATCATCATAAGGTAGTGTAGATTCAAGTTTGTTCAAATCTTGACCCCTTGAGGTAGGGCGGGTCTACAATGGCTGATCAAATTTTTACATAGAATATATAGGAAAAATCATTTAAAATCTTCTTTTCAAGAATTTCAGAGCCATGATTAGTCATATTCATTTGGAAGCATTCTCATATAGTGTAGATTCAAATTTGCTCAAATCATGACCTCTGGGGGTAGGTCGGGGTCACAACATGGAATCCAAGTTTTACATAGAAACATAGTACAATTCTTTAAAATTCTTCTTGAGATTGGCCAAGCCATGATTAGTCACTTGTATATGGAAGCATTCACAGGTAGTGTAGATTTAAGTTTGTTCAAGTCATGATCCCTGGGGGCAGGGCGGGGCCACAATGTAAGTTCAAATGTAAAGGGCTATAAAGCCTAAGGTTGTCAAAGAAATATGCAAGCATCCATAGTTAGTAGATTCAAGTTTTTTCAAATCATACCCTCTCCCATTAAAGATTGGTTTGGACCACTTTTGGTTTTAAACTTTTCAATAATAAACTGATTTTTGTTTTTTTCCTAGCCACAGTGCTCAGGTTAGCGATATGGCGCATTGGCCTATTTTTTTATTTAACTGTTTTCATGGGTTTTATATTGGTTGGTTGGCGCTGAGTATCTTAATTTAAACATACAAATTAATTGATACAAATGCACTAACGCTACATAAAATTAGAATTAAATAGATTAAAATAAATATTGCGTATTTATCAGTGCAAGAAACAATTCACATTGATATTCATTTCTTGTACCTTATTTTGTTTTGAGGGGATGATTCATTTTCATTCATTAATTGACAATACGTCGTCGATATATCTAAATGTCGAGTTGAAGGCCACAACAAGTGTTTTCTTCTTTTCACGTAAAAGATTTTGCATAAATTCTGCTTCATATGAATATAAAAATAAGTCTGCTAATAACGGAGCGCAATTTGTACCCATGGGAATTCCAATAGATTGTTGGAATACCTGGTCTCCAAAAACCACATAGATATTGTCAATCAGAAACTCAAGCATCTTCTTGATGTCAACTTCAGAGTACTTATGTGTGCAATCAGAATCTGTTTTAACAAAATAATTTTTCAAATGACCAATGACCAATGACGAGGTAAGTAAACTTACGAGTTCCATTTTTGTTGAAGAAGCAGCTGTGAATAATATCAAAAAGCCTGGATTTTAATTTGTCGTGGGGAATCAAAGTTCCAAAGTTTTCAGTCTAGTAAATCAAAGTTCCAAAGTTGTAACTGTATTAAATCTAAGTTCCTTAGTTTTCAATCTAGTAATTTAAAGTTCCAAAGTTTTTACTATAGCAAATTAAAGTTCCAAAGAGTTTACCATAGTAATCAAAGTTTAATGTTTTTAGCCCCTGAGCTGAAAGCTAAAGTGTGATTTTCTGATCACATTTTGTCCGGCGTCCGTCTGTCTAACCGTCTGTCTGTCTAGATGTCTGTTAACTTTTCACATTTTTGACTTCTTCACTAAAACCACTCGGCCGATTTCAACCAAACTTGTCACAAAGTATCCTTGGGTGAAGGGAATTCAAGTTTCTTCAAATGAAGGGCCACGCCCTTATTCAAGGGGAAATAATACAGAAATAGTGAAAATTTGGTGGTATGTTTTAAAAATCTTCTCCATAACCACTAAGCCAGGAAAGATAAAACTTATAGGGAGGCATCCTCAGGTAGTGAAGATTCAAGATTCATGACCCCTAGGGGTAGGGCAGGGCCACAATGGCCGACCAAAATTTTACACAGAAATAGAAATGGAAATTATTAAAAATTTCTTCTTCTCAAGAATAGCAAATGCATAAATGATCATATTTATATGGAAGCACCTTCAGACTATGAAGCGGGGCTTCAATGGTTGGACAAAGTTTTGTACAGAAATATATAGAAAAAATATTTGAAATCTTCTTCTCAAGAATAGCAAAGCCATGATTAGACACATTTATATGGAATCATCATAAGGTAGTGTAGATTCAAGTTTGTTCAAATCTTGACCCCTTGAGGTAGGGCGGGTCTACAATGGCTGATCAAATTTTACATAGAATATATAGGAAAAATCATTTAAAATCTTCTTTTCAAGAATTTCAGAGCCATGATTAGTCATATTCATTTGGAAGCATTCTCATATAGTGTAGATTCAAATTTGCTCAAATCATGACCTCTGGGGGTAGGTCGGGGTCACAACATGGAATCCAAGTTTTACATAGAAACATAGTACAATTCTTTAAAATTCTTCTTGAGATTGGCCAAGCCATGATTAGTCACTTGTATATGGAAGCATTCACAGGTAGTGTAGATTTAAGTTTGTTCAAGTCATGATCCCTGGGGGCAGGGCGGGGCCACAATGTAAGTTCAAATGTAAAGGGCTATAAAGCCTAAGGTTGTCAAAGAAATATGCAAGCATCCATAGTTAGTAGATTCAAGTTTTTTCAAATCATACCCTCTCCCATTAAAGATTGGTTTGGACCACTTTTGGTTTTAAACTTTTCAATAATAAACTGATTTTTGTTTTTTTTCCTAGCCACAGTGCTCAGGTTAGCGATATGGCCCATTGGCCTATTTTTTTATTTAACTGTTTTCATGGGTTTTATATTGGTTGGTTGGCGCTGAGTATCTTAATTTAAACATACAAATTAATTGATACAAATGCACTAACGCTACATGAAATTAGAATTAAATAGATTAAAATAAATATTGCGTATTTATCAGTGCAAGAAACAATTCACATTGATATTCATTTCTTGTACCTTATTTTGTTTTGAGGGGATGATTCATTTTCATTCATTCTGTGTACCCTCAGGTGAGCTATTGCTATCTGCTTTCGTCCGTCGTCGTGCGGTGTGTGTCATGTTCGTGTGTTTACATTTGAACATTTTCAGCTTCTTCTCTGCAAACACTCGACTAATTACGACCAAATTTAGCATAAAGCATTTATGGATGAAGGGGGACAAAAATTATTAAATTCACGGTCCCTACCCCTAGGGCAATTTAATGAAATTATCATAAATCTTCTTCTTTACTCCTGGACATCAAGCAGTCAAAATGTTAGCATGAATGTAATAACTATTGAGTACTCGACCAAAACTATGAAATTCATGGCCCCAGGGTTAGAGGTTCTAGAGTTAGGCCGGGGCTCAATTGATTTTATGGTGAAAATGCATAATTTCTTTAAAAATATTCTTCTCTGCATCTAGGTATTAAACAAACTAACAAACTACATAATTATGATGAGGAAAAATGTTCTTCCAAAATTGTAAATTTCATGGCCTCGGGTAAGGGATTTTGGTGTTTAGAGATGGGCTCTATTGATTGTATAGAGAAAATGCAGAAATTATTTGAAAATCTTGTTCTCTACTCCTGGGTATTAAACAAACTAGCTATGTATATAGTTATGATGAGCAAGCGTGCCTTTACCAAAATTGTACATTTTATGGCCCCAGGATCAGGCTTTCTCTTGTTGGACGGGGCTCTATTGATTATATAGTGAACAAACATTAATTATTTGAATCTTCTTCTCTGCTCCAGTGAATTAAGCAGATGAACTACATATACATGTATACATGTATAGCTATGATGAGCAAGGGCCCCTTTTTCAGATTACAAAGCCCCTAGGTCAGGGGTGCCAAAGAGGGGGGGGGGGTGGCTCTTCTTACCGGTATATACTGCAAATGAATTAATTGTTTGAAATCTGCTCATTGGTATTAATCAATTTTTTTTTTTCAAACAGTGTTGCCTTTCCCAAAATTGAGAAATGTATGGAAGAAAGAGTTGGGGGTTCATGTGTGGTTGTGGCACTACTAATTATTGCTTAATATTACTTATTACTTGAAATGCATTTTTATTCTCCTACATGTACCCTGCCATTTGGTATTAAGAAACTAAACTAATCAATTAATTGCAAAGTGTGTAGTTGTGATTACAATGTAGCAATGGTCTCTTTCAAATTGTGAATGCCATGGCCTCTTGTTTGAAACATGAACCATATTCAATCTTTAAAAAGTTGTTGCATTATGCTCAGGTGACCTATAGCGGGCATTTTGTTTATGAAATATCATTTTGATACCAAGAAAAGAGCTTCTCAATAAAAAGCCTTCTTTCATCATGGACATTTCGATTTAATGTGCATCAATGAAATGTACAAATTATCCTCTTCGATGGATTCCAGATAGTCAAGTCAATATTGCATTTACCGGTATACTGTGCATCTTTTTATAAATATCTGATTCTTATTTTAAATTAGTTCACAAAAACACAATCAGTAAATACATGTAAAAAGTATTGTCGAATTCAGTAAATGCATACATTTCTAAACTGAAAACAGTATATACAAGTATTTCCTAAGGAACACAGTATAATACATTTATGTACACGTATTTCCTTAAATATTTAGGAAATACATGAAATTCCTGATTACACGTACTATAAATTTGAAATTTCGTTATGCATGCATATATATTTTTATACATAAAAACTAATATATTTGTATGCTTTGCTTTCTTGAAGTTAAGTTTTTGTTGATGACTCCAAATTTGATTTTGACTCTTGTTAACAATTTTCAGCATTTGTCCAGAAAAACAACACTAGATGACATATTAGGGAAAACAATTCCAGCCATGGACGTTTTCTCCATGTCGATAAAATTCTTAAAAAATCATGTGATGAAGACCTTGAGAGATAGATTACCTACTATAATTCTGTCTGATGTAAGGTTCGTACTGACCGTTCCAGCGATTTGGACGGATTCAGCAAAGGAGTTTATGCATGAAGCTGCAGAAATGGTAAAATATCAAATTCAGTTATTATTAAAACATTTTCATTTTCAAAAGATTTACTCATTCTATTAACAGAATTTTTTAGTGGGCTCCATTAATATAAGAAATAATTCTGTATAACCAGGTTTTTTTTAATATCGAATCTCTTTATTATTTAAAATTATTTATACAGTATATATATATATATATATATATATATATATATATATATATATATATATATATATATATATATATATATATATATATATATATATATATATATATATATATATATATATTATATATATATATTATAAGAGACGAGAGGGGCTTTCCGATTGTCATTAGAAAATTAAAAAAAAATGTTTGAGAAAACAGGTTTCTAACGAGTATGTTTTATAGGACTTGTTTCCAATTTACTTGTTTTCAGGAAATAAACAATGCTCGAAGGAAATTGCTTTTCCCGTTAGTCGATGTCTAAAAAAACTCTTTTAAAAGACATATTTTTGAACCAGCAAATTTATGTTATCGTTTTTATATAAACTTATGTGAATCCGTAAGATATGAGATGAAGAATTTGCTTTGGGTATGCATACGGATTACTTGATCCTCCAGTGATGTCATAGGTTTATGCTTTATTCAAAATTTAAAACAAAGTCTTGAAAAAATGCTTTTTAATAGAAAACTGTCTTGTGACTGCCGTATGACTGTTTGAGACTATTCTAGCAGTCCAAGAAAGCAGACCGTCTTGGGACTGTTCTCCGAATGCTTTCTGTCAGGTTGGGTTTACAGCTGGTTGGCACTATACTTTTGGAAATACACGGACAAAAGGTGTACAGATGGACTTGCGGTCAGTCTGAACTACGGGACGATAGACACATTTATCTCGTCCACTCCCTTTCCAACTGTTTATAAAGTAACTTAGAAAAATCTTTGTAGCTTTGAAAACATTTTTTTTGTATGATATGCATTATATTCATTTGAAATATACGCTCATGAAATAAATTTCAGAAATTGATTTTCTAGGCTGGGATAGCATCAAACAGACTTATTCTAGCTCTGGAACCTGAAGCTGCATCAATACACTGTCAAAACATTCCAACTGAAATACTCACGAGTGGTGCAGGATTGAGCATTTCAGAAGTAGGGACCCAGTACCTAATCGCCGATATAGGAGGTAAAGTCTTTGATTTTTCTTTTTCTTGTAAAAAAACTATCTCTCAGTCTCTAACAAAAAGTAGGAAATTCAGCAAGATATTTCTTTTAAAAGTGATTTCATTTTTTCTTAAATAAGAACACTTTTTTTTAATGTTTTTGTACCTTGTTACAATTTGATGAGGATATAGTTTTTTCTTATTTCAGGACCGATAATACATACAAAGTTTTTTCACCTAAGACATATGGAATGAAAAATCTACATTCCACAAAAAAAGTACACGACAAGAGAAACTATGATAAAAATGTTTAATTTTCACTCATTCAAGTTATTTTTTCTTCAAAAACATTTCTCAAAGATTAAGGAGAATTAATCATGTTTTAAAAAAACCATCTCTCAGTCTCTAACAAAAAATAGGAAATTCAGCAAAATATTTCTTTTAAAAGTAATTTCATTTTTAGCTCACCTGAGCCGAAGGCTCAAGTGAGCTTTTCTGATCATAATTTGTCCGTTGTCTGTCGTTGTCGTCTTCGTCATAGTCGATGTCGTTGTTGTAAACTTTCAAATTTTCATCTTCTTCTCAAGAACCACTGAGCCAATTTCAACCAAACTTGGCGCAAAGTATCATTGGGTGAAGAGGATTCAAGTTTGTTCAAATGAAAGGCCACGCCCTTTTCCAAGGGGAGATAATTCATGAATTTGATAAAAATTAATGGCATTTTTAAAAAAAATCTTCTTCTCCAGAACCACTTGGCCAGGAAAGATGAAACTCATGTGGAATCATCCTCAGGTAGTGTAGATTCAAGTTTGTTCAAATCATGACCCCCTGGGCAAGGGTGGGGCCAAAATGGCTGACCCAAGTTTTTTATAGGAATACATAGGAAAAATCGTTAAAAATCTTCTCCTCCAGAACCACTGGGCCGGGAAAGATGAAACTCATGTGGAATCATCCTCAGGTAGTGTAGAATCAAGTTTGTTCAAATCACGACCCCCAGGGCAAGAATTGGGCCAAAATGTTCGACCCAAGTTTTACATAGGAATATATAGGAGATATATTTTAAAATCTTCTCCTCCAGAACCACTGGGCCAGGAAAGATGAAACTCAAGTGGAATCATCCTCAGGTAGTGTAGATTCAAGTTTGTTCAAATCATGACCCCCGGGGCAAGGATGGGGCCAAAATGGTCGACCCAAGTTTTACATAGTAATATATAGGAGATATCTTTAAAAATCCTTCTCACGCAGCACTGTTAAGGCTTACTATGAGAAATCAACGGAAAATAAAAGTGCAAAAAACGGGAAATTTTTAAAATTGAATTTATTTTTATTCAGCAATTCTATTATCACAGAACTTAAATACTTATGGAAATAGCATGGTATAACATACTCTGTACTGTGTAGAGTTTGGTCCCATCGATGGACAGTCACGTGATGAACGCATAGCAGGTACACGGAATGTAGGTCAATAACAAATTTTAATATCGCAAGGGCATACCCTAATTGGAATTAAAAATTCAAGCTATTAATAGTTTCTGTGTACTTTGTAGTTTCTGAAAAGTGCTGCTGCTTTGAATAGAATTCGCCGTTTAATACTTAAATGTTTAACTAAATAGGCCAATGTCGAAATATGTTAGAATTTTACCAAATATTTTGTGCACTTATGAAATCACGGCCTCGATTTAAAGAAAGCAGCAGCACTTTTCAAGTTAAGGAATATATCCTTTATCTATATTTAAAAAATGGTTCAGATCTATTTAGTGTATGCCCTTGCGAAAGTAAGATTTTATGAGACATCTCGATGTAAAATATACGTAACCTGTACATAAAACACGACATAATTAATAAAATACATTCTCTTTGTAGTTAATTAACAATCGCTCTAAACAAAGGCTTTACGTTGGTATTAATCCACTATTTAAAATATGTAAATAATATTCCGTTTGATAATAAAACACATTTTTCGTTGATAAACAATTTCTCAATTTGCCTCTCACAGCACATGAAGTATGTCATTTTTACCAGTATGACGTCATGTTTAAAAGTTCATCGCGACGAGTGCTTTGTCTACAACAAGCTACATGGGATTTAACTAGCAACTTTTTTTAATGCATTGATAAGTTATAATGTTGTTTATTATGCTAATTCTGTTCAGCGTTGCAGATTATTTCTTTTACACGTATTATGAGAACTACAGAAATGTCATATTTTTGTCTGACGTCATAATATACTTTTCCCGTATAAATTAGGCCCCGCCCCCTTATTCAAGCCTTAACAATGCTGCGCAATTACCACTGGGCCAGGAAAGATTTAACTCATGTGGAATCATCCTCAGGTAGTGTAGATTCAAGTTTTTTTTTTCAAATCATAACCCCCGGCCCTGGGTATAGGGTGGTGCCAAAATGGCCGACCCAAGTTTTACATAGGGAAACCTTTTAAAATCTTCTTTTCAAGTACTTAAAAGCTATGATTAGTGATACCCGGGGTATTTATATGGAATCATCCTAAGGTAGTGTAGATTCTAGTTTGTTCAAATGAAGAACGCCTGGAAGGGGAGGGGGGTTAATTCAAGCCCGATGTGCTCAGGTGAGCGCTGTGGCCCCTGGGCCTCTTGTTCCTTTAATAAGAACACTTTTTTATGTTTATGGACATTGTTACAATTTGATGAGGTTATAGTTTTTTCTTATTTCAGAACCGATGATACATAAAAAGTTTTTTCACCTTAGACATAGGGAATGAAAAATCTTCTACATTCCACAAAAAAGTACACGACAAGAGAAACCATGATAAAAATGTTTAATTCTCACTCATTTGAGTTATTTTTCTTCAAAAACATTTCTCCAAATCTAAGGAGAATTAATCATGTTTTAAAATATATGATGATGACTGATAAATATTTTGATATCTCATTATAGAAAAAGAATCATTTATCACATATCCTGCTTTAATGATTATGGATATTGATTGCTTTCTGAATAGCTATTATTTGTGCTTGTTAAATTTAGGTGGTACTGGAGATTTTACTGTTCACGAAAAGCTCGACAATGGAAAACTAAAGGAAGTTAGCAAAGCAAGCGGTGGAGCTTTTGGTGGAATAAACGTCGACAAAAGGCTTTTCCATTTTTTTTCTAAACTCTTTGGAGAGGAAGCCTTTACGCAATTAAAATCAGAGGAAATATGCGATTACCTTGATATCTTTAGAGATTTTGAGATAAAAAAGCGAACAGTTACAGATGATTGCGAGAAGAATTATGTTATAAGATTGCCATCATCACTTTTGCAATTTGCATCGAACAATAATCCAGGTTTCAGAAAAAATGCCGAGAGTACAGATTTCAAGGGACATGTCAATTTTTGGCACGATAAACTAAAGATTGACTCAACTCTCATGAAGTCTCTCTTTACAGAATCTATACAGAATATAACGACACATATTGAAGGCATTTTGCAAGGTTTTCCTAAAGTGAGGCAAATCCTCCTTGTTGGTGGATATGGAGAATGCATTATTCTGCAAGATGATATAAGGAAATGCTTTCCACAACAGGACTTAATCATTCCTCAAGAATGCGAACTAGCAGTGGTTAAAGGAGCTGTTCTTTTTGGACATGATTCAAAGGTTATTTTTGAGCGTATACTAAGGTATTCTTACGGTACAAATTCACACTCTAAATTTGATCCAAGTGTTCACTGTGAAGACAGGAAATACGTTGATGATTATGGAATCACGAGATGCAGGGGTTCCTTTTACACTTTAGTAAAAGCGGGAGAAAAAATAACATCGAAAGGGCACATCATTTCTAGTGCCATTTTTGCTTTGAGTAAAAACCAGTCGGAAATAGAATATAAGATATTTTACACGGAAAAAACAAATACAATTTACCTTGATGATGACTGCAAATTTCTCGGGAAATTAATTATACCTCTTACTGGTGACAAGGATACAAATAGAAAATGCAATGTTTCCTTTACGTTTGGACTGACTGAAATCTGTTGCAAGGTGACAGAAAAGAGTTCTGGAAGGGATATTGAGGCAAAATTTGAAATGTTGGAGTGAATATAGAATAAGTCAGAATATATATTTGATATAGAATAGCTGTTGCAAACTTTCAATTTTAAACTCGATGAATAAACAATCAACTTAATGTACAATAAAAATACCACACTTTTGAAAAAAAGACTTTGAAAGGTTAAAAACATGAACTACATTTGATTGTTGGAAAGCTGTCGCATGATACCTGGCTAGTGAGCCTCTTGTTCTTAAAAACAACATGCATTTAAATAATTTTGAGTATAAGATGATCATTGTGAATAGTTCTATATACGTAATATTCAATAAACTCTTAAACATTTACATTCAACTTATTAATGATTAATACCATCTCTGTAAACATTAGGAAGATATACATTGTACAAATAATTTTGGGAAATTATAATTCATATAATATAATAAATATGGACTCAATGCACGGTCAATATGCATTTATAATGACCCTGAATGACAGATATTGACCTCAGATACACGGAGTACATCGACCTCGGGCTAGCGCCCTCGGTCGATATAATCCTTGTATCTTCGGTCAATATCTGTCATTCTGGGCCGACTGTGGTTTTCATTGCGCATTATTTTGCGCATCATAGTAAATTGAAGCGTTTTAACTGTTTTAAAGCAATTTTTTTCTTAATTAATAAAATTAAACAAACTTAAGAAATAAAAGGTTTAAAATGTAATTAAAATTTTATATAACTGATTTTTAACCGATTTTGCAATTGATAGGTAGGTTGACGTCGTTACATTGCGCATCAATGTTAAGGCTTGAATAAGGGGGTGGGGCCTAATTTATAGGGGAAAAGTTTACTGTGACGTCACACAAAAATATGACTTTTATGTATTTCTCATTATACCTGAAAGTGAAAATGTTTTCAACTTTTAGCTGTATAAGCATAATAAACAACAATAAAACTTATCAATGCATTAAAAAAACTTGCTAGTTTTATAACCATTCTCTGTACCACTTAAACTTCGTTGCCACGCATGGACACCGATTTTGATGAAACTTCACCCATGCTTAGTACTTGACACCAGAAACAAATTTCAAACAAAATTTAGTTGCTTAATGTCCTGGTTGCTATGGCAACAGCGGATAAGTTTGAAAAATCGAGATATTCAGCCACTTTAAATCTTGATTATCGCTTAATAAAACTAGAAAAAGCAAATAAATCATTCTTACAAAAACATAATACCTTGATGTCACTTATGCTGTAAAGAATCTGTTTAGAATATATCTCTTAGTATTAGTGGTAACCAAGGGTACACTTGGAATACATTTATAATGCTTAAATATGCTGAATAACACTCAGTATTTACTAATGGTAGTGTTACATGCTCAAACTCAATCAACGACTTAAGAAAAAAAATGTTTGAACTTAAATATATAAGTATAAGCAATATTACTTTATAAATAACTTTATGGTTGCCATGGTAACACAGTGTAACCATGCAAAACCAGTAACTAAGATTTGATTAATGCTACTGTCTTAAGGAAAAACATGAAAATTCAAGACTGGCAAATATTCATCCCTAGGACCTTGCAACACCAAAACCATAAGAATAATTGGGTTTAATTGCTACTTTGCAGTGTTTCCATGGAAACAAAGTACCAGTGCTTAAAAGTTAATTATATTTCGCAGTATTAAGAATTAAATTGCCATTTAATCAAGAAACAAATTTAAGGACTCAGCTTAAACAATACTTATCTGTTAGAAGTGGAGTTGAATAGCATACATTGATAAAATTGGATGAAGAAAACAACACTGTTGATATGGTTACCAAGAAGGGAAAATGTTCGATTTTGTGAAAGTTATATCAATAATAAACCCTATGTGCCAACTTCTTGCATCCACTAAGAGATCAGATGATAGTCAAAATTAAAAGTCAGGTTAGTTGTTAATAAGTATCATTCATAGAAGTCTTTGGAATCTCAGTTAAGGGTACGTATCCAAGGAACGAAAATATTTTTTCAGGTTTTTAAGCATATATTTTCTGCTTATTTCCATAGCAACGCTCTATTCAAAAAATCTAATTAATCTGATTTTTTTCAAATGGGAAAACTAGGCGCACACCAACATCTTTAAAAATTGATCATTAGTTATGAGGAAATGTACTATTTTTTTCAAAAGATAGGATCAAATTTAAACATATAGAGTGTTACTTTGAAGGCTCTCTGTGGTATAAAAAGCCTTGGCAACCATTGCCAACCAAAATGAAATATCATATTTTATTCATTGAATATGTTTCAAGGCTCTTTTTCTTTTTTCTATTTTTTGGTCGCATTTCATCCTAAAATTGCTTTTTATTTTTACGTATATGACTATAAAATTCAATAAATATATTTTTTTTTACTTTTAAATACTTTGTAATAATTGATTTACCAAACTTGTTTATCATGCATTTAAGACATCTGACCTTCAACTTTGGGAAACAATTATTGCCAATTGTTTGATTTGCTGCAAATATTAAATATGGGACTCTAAACATGTTAAAAATGCCATTTTTTGAACTTTAAGACAAGTTGGCATTGTAACTATGACACATGGCAACCAATTTTTGCCTGATTTTAGTTTAGGGTATCAATGACTTTTATCATAGAAAGTTTGGAGAAATGTTGAGACTATGTGTGTCACAGCTCCTATAAAAAATTTCAAATCATTACAGAGAATGGCTCTTAAATCCCATGTAGTTGGTTATAGACAAAGCACTGATCGCAATGAACTTGTAAACATGACGTCATTTTGGTAAAAATGACGTATTTCATGTCCTGTGAGAGGCAGATTGAGCTATTTTTTAACAATGAAAAATGCGAATTTATATTTGACGGAAGGATATGGAAATAACGAACAGTATTCAATTTCAACGTCCATTAAACAAACATACAAAATAAGAGCAGAGCAAACACGGACCTCCGAAACATCAGAGGTGGGATCAGGTGCCATGGAGGAGTGAGCATCCCCTGCCGACCGGTCACACCCGCCGTGTGCTCGTTGTCATAATCAGGATATAACGGAAAAAATCCGTGGTCAATTCAGTGTATAAATAATGGACTAACAATTGGTATGAAAAACGTCAGTCAGCATTTCATTCAATGATAAATTGTATTTGCTGACAAGGTCATTGTATCGACCATAGAATTTACGAAATGATGACTTTAAACGAGACTGTTGATATTCTTGTTTCATCAACTTGCTTGTCAATAATTTACCTCGTTTAAGAAATTGTTCATACGTAGAGCATGCTCTAGCATATCGAATCAACTGAGATATAAATACTACGTATGCAGGTGATGAAGGTATATTGCTGCATAAGTAAGGGAAGTTATTATTTATAGGTTTTAAATAGTCGATTAATACCAGTGCATATCTTTTGTTTAGCGTGATTATTATTTAACTTTTAAGAGAATGTATTTTATTAATTATGCCGTATTTTTATGTACAGGTTACGTACATTTTACATCGAGATGCCTCATTAAATCGCAATTTCGCAAGGGCATTCACTAAATAGATCTTAACCATTTTTTGATTATAGATAAGGGATATTTTTCTTAACTTGAAAGGTACTGCTGCTTTCTTTAAATCGAGAACGTGATTTTATAAGTACACAAAGTATTTGGTAAAAGTCAAATATATTTCGACATTAGCTTATTTACCTGAAATTCTAACTATTAATTCTAACTATTAAAACGCGAATTCGATTCAAAGCAGCAGCACTTTCAGGAACTACAAAGTATCCAAAAACAAATAATAACTTGAATTTTTAATTTCAAACAGGGCATGCCCTTGCGATATTGAAATTTGTTAATGACCTACATTCAGTACACGTAATATGCATTCATCACGTGACTGTCCATCGAGGAGACTAAACTTCATACAGTACAGAGTGGGTTATACTATGCTATTTCCTTATTGTATTTGTGTTCTGTGATAATAAAACATCTTAATTAAAATAAATTCAGTTTTACAAAGGTCCCCCTTTTTTGCAAGTCTATTTTCCGTTGATTTCTAAAAGTAGGCCTTAACAGTGCTGCGTGTTTTTTTGACGGTATGATAAACTGAAGGGGTAATTAAAATGTTATTAAAGTACAATTAATAAACGTAAACTCTTGGAATTAGAAATATGGAAATTTGAGAAAATCTCCCTTATTCTTATTATGTTTTCAACTTTTCATATACATGTAAATCCTTTGTGTCAGTCATATTAAACAGTACGCTTTTAAAAACAGGAAAATTCGTTAATTTTTGGCATTTTGAGATGCCCCGTATTGTACATGTAACAAGACGGTAGAATTTTGTATTTCTTAAATATAATGTGCAATATAGTATTACTCATCAAATATTATAGTTTAAACAAAAAGGCTATTGTAGTTTTTGCATAATTTTCTTTAAAGTGCTAAAATTAGCATTTTCCTATATTATCCTATAGTTAATGTATCTGTATTTTGAGGCGGTCCCTAAAAATACCTGGACGGTAGATTTTAACCAAACTTGGCATATACACTTGGCATATATTCTTCTGAATTGAATTTTTAGGTCACCTGAGAATTTTAATGGCCCCAGGGTCAAGGGTTCTAGTGCTAGGGCAGAGTTCTATTGATTATATAGTGAAAATACATTATTTCTTTAAAAATCTTCTTCTCTGTTCCTGGGTTTTGAATAAACTAAGTACATAGTTATGATGTGGAATAATACTTTTGTGAATTTTATGACCTCAGGGTCAGGGGTTCTGTCGTTAAGGCGGGGCTCTATTGGTTTTATAGAGAAAATGCAGAAAATGTTTGAAAATCTTCTTCTCTGCTCCTGGGTATTAAGCAGATTAACTACCTATATAACTTTGTTGAGCAAGGGCCATTTTGCCTGAATTGTGAATTTCAACACCCCTGGGTCCCGGGTACCAAGATGGGGAGGGGGCGCTACTTATATACTGAAAATGAATTAATCTATTGAAATTTTCTCCTTTGTTTCAATCAAATTTTTTGCTAAGCAAGGGTGCCTTTTTCAAAATTG